AAGACTGGAGTAATGATGCTGAAAATTCAGCTTTGCTATCACAGGAATAAATTCGTTTTTAATTTATATTAAAATAGAAATTAGTTATTTTAAATTGTAAAAATATTTTATAATATTAATGGTTCACTGTATTTTTGATTAAATAAATGCAGATTTGAGAACACAAGAGACTTCTTACAAAAACATTACAGACCCCAAATATTCTAATATAAAAAGAGGTTATGCTGTTTTAAGAATTTCTTTTGTACCTGACAGGAGATCTTTGGCCCGTTCCTGAGGTTTGCTGTACCTGTCACCCCATTTTTGCTCTCGGCTGTATACTGATAAACATATTTTCTGAGGTTCTTGAACCTTGCAGACACTTGAAAAAAAAAACAAGCATTTAATAATTGTATGTAAGAGTTACTATAATGTCAGTGATAAAAATAACAAGAACTTTGTTGTTTTAATTGTTTCACAATTATCTGGTTTCACATGTTTAGAATTTATCATGATTTCTGCAGTATTTCAGAGTCAGATGAAACCTGAGGTTAGTTAGATGAGAATCAACATGTTGTGTATTGGTCGCTTACATGGGCATATAGGTGGCTGTCCTTCTCCGTGCACTGTCTTCCTCAACCACCTCAGTGTTTGCTTCTACACAGGCATAGAAAAAATGGCTTAATTGAATACATGTTATATTTGACAAAACACAACAAATCTGAATAAATGATTACTTGATTATTCTTTTAGGAAAGGAGTACAGAAAAAAAAGATAAAAATGAAATGTAAGAACAGTGACCATCCTCTAGATTTCCATTCAAGGTATATGAGAAACAGACAAAGACCTATTAATAATAATACAATAGGATGAAAATGAGAAAAATAGGTGAATTGGTAGGAGAAATAAGAAAAAATAGTGGTAGATGCAGATAGTACCAAGCTAAAGTACAAATGTATAGTACAAAATAAAAAAAAAGACGGATATAAAATCTTACCTGCCAATAGATGTGCACCAAGGATGAGTAACAGACACAACTTAGTATCCATCTTTATGGGCACTAAAACTCTTTATTTAATTTTTTACTGTTTTTCACCAGCTTCTCTTAAATACTCCCACCCAGCTGAGCC